ATATAGAGAGAAAAAATATTCTATTAAATTATAAAAAGAAAAAGGTCTATCAACAATATACTGCAAAATTAAGGCATTTCTCAAAGCTCTACTAATGCTAGAGAACCTTCCAATTGATCTTCTCAATTTATGTATAGATATAAAAAAAAGGGAAAGCTTTCTATGTGACCACACTCACATCCAAGTTACATATGACCCCACTTGTCAGCCGTTCGATCTGGATGGAAGGCTAAGATTGTTTGTTACAATGTCACGCCAAACCATTGTTTGATTTATTATTATTTATTTACAAAATTTGAGTGGAATTTGGGGCATCCTATCTTCTAAATGAAGCACACTCAGCAAAAAAAAAATTCCTGTGAAAATAAATGATTACCCTCAAAAATTTCAACGGTGTTATTATAATTTTCCATCAAAAGAAATATTTTATTATTATTATTATCATGTGTGCTCTTGTCAGATGTATGCATGCCCCAATTTTTCCTGCAAAGTAATTATAGAATAAATATTAAAAATAAAACACTATGAGTGGTGAAAACAAGATTTGGCACTCGAGAGCCAACTTGTGATACTGTGATTCAAGCTATCCCAACCATCTACTTAGATCTGACGACTGAGAGAAGGGCTTTATATGTGGGAGAGGTCAAATGTAAAGCTTTCCCATGAAATAGGGGTTTCAATTTATAAAAATAGTACATATTCTAGATTGCCAATTTTCAAGATTTTCAAGTGTGTACGGATTTGTTTGATCAACGTAATTCTAAAACTTCAAATTTCCATGATTAGAGGTGAAAATAAATTGTCAAGCCATCATAAGAGTTTTTGGTATATGCTTTCAATGCTTCTCCTATAACATAAAACTATATGCTTCCCCTTATCCAACCGTCCATTCTAAATGAAGGACTAAGATTGCCCCAATCACAATGTCACATCTCTTCAATATTTTATTTTTAATTTTGTTTACATAAAATATTTTGACACCAGAATTTGGGTGTCTAATATTCTATTAAACTCACACTTTTAAAAATATTTAAAAAATATTTCTATTAAAATAAAATGACCAAAATATCCCTGAAAGTTCAAGGGATATTTATTCAAGGGATATTTAGGTCATTATATTTTATCAAAAAAATATTTTTAATATTTTTTTATAGGTGCGCCCCATTGCTAAGATAGTACCAAATTTCATATTGATAAAATTTGTATTCAAAAAATTAAAAATAAAATATTCTGAGGCATCGGATTTAGGATTAAACAATGAGTGGCTCACTTGATCAAAATTGGACGGTTGGATGGTAGGGGAAGCATAGATCTTCTATGTTGTAGAAGAAGTATAGAAACCTTTCCCAAGTCATAAATGGGTTGACATAAAGAAGGGTGAGAATGTAGAATGAAAAAAAGTGCTAAGTGGATGTGGCCAAGCAAAAACGGGGAGAGAAAACAAAAACAACACAAACTAGAAGAGATGAAATAAAATAAGGGCTGTATACTAGGAGACTATTTATCTTTGTAGCAAGGAAGCACATGTACTTCTAGTAATAAGATGTCGAATTGGATAGCTTGGGGTATGTCACAAAGTTCGACAATTTTTTTTATATACTTTGGATCAAAGCAATAATCTTTCAACCACCCGATTTGAAATCTGACAGACAAAACTATTAGTGACCTCCTTATAATAAAAAATAAACGATCTCTTTGTATAAATTTTCAATAAAATAAGTGAGAAGATAAGATCTATGTGCAAAATCATAGTAATTTCAGGGATTGTAGAAACAAAACTTAAAATTCAATGAAATTTTAGGTTTTAAGTATATGTTATGTCATTATTTTCCGAGTAGTTATTTCGAAAGCCAAACACATTCTCAACCATCGATTCTATTTTCTCTCTCTAACTTAAAAATCGGTCCCTAAAAATGCAAATCCATGTCCATCTAGAAAATACGAGGAATACCAAAAACTAGACATAGGGATATCAATCGGGTCGGGTAAGGGTCCAAAACTCGATTTGGGTCTAGGTCTGAGTGTTAATTTTGGATTTGTTGGGTCGGGTGTCTGGGTGTTAATTTTGGATTTGTTGGGTCGGGTTTGAGTCCAAAACTTAATCCGAGTCGGATTTGGGTCAGGTCCAGATCCAAGTCAACCCGACCTGGATCCAATCAGAGCATATCTATATACGAACAAAATATATTATCAAACTATTTACCTTTAGTACAAGATGGTCACAATTGATAAGTAATTGTGACCTCTTTGCATCAAAGATAAATAATTTCATCATATACAATCCCATATATTTAATATGAAAAAATTCATACAAGGATGAGACCCTAAACAATCAAATTAAAACACACCTCAAAAATTCACAAAAAGATGGGTTTTAATTTGATTGTTTATAGCCTCGACTCTATAGAAACCGCACCCATATAGCATAGGTTCCATAAAACAAAGGTTTTAACGCTTGTTTGGAGGGCCTTTTGGTTGATTTTGGAAAACCAATAAAAATGCACTACCTTCCTTCTTAAAGCAATTATTAATTTCAAAATGGTCGCGGCGAGTCCATCATTGCTGTTAAATTAAATATACAAAATGGCGCGGATTCTCTCCAATAAGTAATTGATCACACTTCATTTCTAATTGCAAGTTTAAAATTAGAGCAAAGCACAACCCATGCATTCCCGTTAAAGTGACCCTAAACTTTGTTTTTTTTATTTTTTTGAAAAAATTACAAAAAAAACTTTAAAGGCTATATTTTCTATGGAACTTACCCACAACTTAACTTTTTTTCTAATTTGTTTCTCCATAATACACTTTTTATGCAAATACCCCAATCAAAGAAAATAAAAAATGCCTAAACTATCCTCCCTTATTTTTACCCTACCCACGCCTCTCTCTCCTCTATCCCACCAAAATAGGGGCTCCGACATTATCTAAGTGTGGTTCGACAGTAAGCTCTGACATTGTGTAAAGTGTGGTCCGACAATGGGGCTCCAGCACTGTGTAAAATGCAGTCCGGCAGTTGCAAAGAGCGGTCCGACAGTAGATATTACTGGATTCCTAGACTTCGATATTATGTAAAGGATGATCCGACGATACTCAGTTTCGATCTGGTAGTTATCTTAGGGCGGTCCAGCACTTGTGTGCTCCGGCAATGTGATGGTGCGCTCCGGCGATGTGCTACTGGGGTCCAAAAGTCAACATCAAATCTGGCCAAAATAATTTTTGTGTATGGGTAGTGCGAACTTTTTCCCTTGGGGGTTATTTGCATAGAAAGTTTGTTTTGAAGAAAAAAGTGAGAGAAAAAATTAGGTTAGGGTAAGTTGCATAGAAAGTATGGTCTTGGTTTTGTTTTTTTTTTTTAAATTTTTCCTTTTTTTCCAAACTCTTTTTGGAGTTGAAATGAGCATAATGTCCATTTTAGGACCCCAAATTTTGAGAATGTAATCTTCTCAACCAATAAGTTAACGTTATTAAAAAAGAATTCCTAATTGTGCCCTCTATTTACTTGAAAAAATACTGTCCAATTTTTAAATGGTGTGATCCAAGTATAAAAAACTCAAATTTAGATTTTGTTTTGAGAATAATAGTTTAGAAATTCTTAAGTGGTTCTTAAAATTTCAAATTGAAAAGATCCTCCAGAAGGTCTTAGGACTGAGGGAGTTGAAGTAAACTATGCTCCCTATGCGTGCCCTTTGGAGTTTAATAGGTCACAGTGATGACTAAAAACTTGTACCGTGCCAATTATAGAGCGAGGTGAAAATTGTTGTTTTGACTTAAGGGTCTTATCAAATTATTAAGGGCAAGTCACCCTAATAATTTCTAGCAAGAAAACTATAGCAAGAACCCGCCAAAAAATGAATGTGACAAGTTAGTTTCATTGTTTTCAAAGAAAAGAAGACACCGGGATTGCCATAAGATGGAGCTCAGTTTTTTCCTGAGCGCGGATAATATAGTCCTGTGGTATCATATTGTATATTTACTTTTCCAGTTAAGAATTTTTCTAATGTGAAATATGGGGAAACACATTAAAATCAATAGATGAGAATCCTTGAACGAAACAAAGTTAGATTTCGAGTTGCTAAATACTTAGATATTACCATCTAGATTTTAGACAACCACTTCTCACTACGAGGACCCTATTGTTTAGGTACTTACATGTTCTCTTTCTTTTCTTTAAAAATACTCCTAAATAATGTTAGGGATGGTATACTATGAGACCATATATCTACAAGGAGGTGGCAATTACTCTTATCCATGTCAAATTACATAGCTTGGGTTATGTCATGAAGTTGGAGAAAGTTTGAACTTTGAGTCTAGTCAAGGATACTACTACAATCACCACATTTGAAATCGAACGAACAAGGGCGATTCTGATCACCCTGTACCCATAGTAAATAGTTTGCATGTATGTTTTTCCATGGTTTTACTATGAGGGATTGTATCTCCGAAGTGCTTCCTGCTACATGACAAAATCTTTTTCTTTTTTTTTTTGGCAAGAGTACTTACTTATTAATTATTGAAACGGAGATACAAAACATTTATCAAAATAAAACTAGAGGATAGAGGACAAAATATTTTTTATTTTTTTTTGTGGGGTAAATCTGATAAGTTAGATTTCACCTTAAGAAAAGATCTATTTGGACCCATACTTCTTCCCCACATTCAGATTGCCCCAAAGTATTCTATCATTCAAATTATTCCTCATACCACTTTTTACAGAAAGGCCCCCACAGAACAACCCTTTCGAAAACATCTATGTATCTTCCTCTCTTGCTTACCTGTCACCCCCTATAGTCTATCACCAAGTGTCATCCAATTACTTGTTGGTCTCATAAGGAAGTCCTCATTTGGAATTACGTGGTAACCTAATGGCCGACGGTACACGCGTCACACATCAGGCCATCCAAATTGGTGGGGGGAGGTGGGGTGGGGGACTACACTCACAAGAACTGCAAAAGTAGAAAGCAAAATGCAATTATATGAAAGGCATGGGTTTCTTCATCTTCTAAGCTAAAGAATAAGAGCCCAAAAGCATAGAGCCTACATAATATTATCCCTTGCATAAAAGCATAGGGGCTTTGATTCCGAAACAATCATAATACCCATATCATATCTATTCTCCCCCTCTCTTTCAAACTCATTCACTTTTATCTCTCTCTCTTTCTTGTCTCTTGAATCTTGATGCAGAAGACGCATGAAAGACACCATCAGGTGCTGCCTCTCATGCATCTTGCCCTGTGGAGCACTGGATGTGGTCCGAGTCGTGCACCTCGATGGCCGGGTCGAGGAATTCGGCCGAGAAATTCAGGCTGGTGAAATAATGAAGGCCAACCCGAAACACGTTATTAGGAAATCGTTGTACGGGGAGAATGTAGTACGAAGCGTAGTGGTGCTGCCTCCGGATGCAGAGCTTCGAAGGGGAGAGATCTACTTCTTGATGCCTGTCGCTTCCCCGCCGAAGAAAGCTAGGGTGAGAAGGAAGAAGAGGGAGATGGACCCCGAGGCGATGACAAAGCTCCTGATCTCCGACCGATACTTGTCCGAGATCTTATCAGAGAAGGCATTGACTCAAAGGAATAGGAGACATGGCCGTGTTGGTATGTGGAGACCTCATTTAGAGAGCATCTTAGAAGCCATCACCGATTCATGAGAGAAAATCTCTAAGCCAATCTAGACTTGTGCAACTCCTCCAACCATGAATCATGTGGAGGACTGGTAGCCTAGTCCACAAGAACACCATGGAATCAATACAGAACTTTGTGCAGTTATTTTCCCTTTTCCAACACAATCTTCTCATTCTCTGTCAGGTGAATTTTTGGGATTTTTCAATTATGTCTTCTGCAACCTTGCAGTGAGATTTACCTTTGTTATTTTATGTTACACATGCTATGGTGCTTCATTTCTTGTTTAGGAAAGAATCTTGCCAATTCCATTAGTCCTCAATGCTGCATCCATGATTCTCAAAATTCAAGTTTAAGGATCTCTCTCTCTCTCTCTCTCTCTCTCTCTCTCTTTCTCTCTCTCATCCTTCCTTCTGTACAATCATCATCACATAGGTTCAGGATCCATGAAATGATCTGACATAGTTTTCCATCTATACAATCAATTCCTTGTTAATTATCAAGCTAGAATCAAATATCCAAATATTGTTTCATTTTATTATTTATTTATTTATTTTGGCATGGGCATGGAAGCATCATGAAGCCAAAGCAGGTGTAAAAAGTGCGGTTTGCATAGAGCCTAAGCTCTAACCGTCATATAGTGTCGAGAAATATGATTTCAATATCGAAAATCTCTTTAAAATATATTTTCATATTTATTTATAAAGTTTAAAGCTTCAAAATTAGAGTAAATAGACATATCTATAAAAATCTTGAAAATTGACAGTCTAAAAATATGTTACAAAATACACTATTTTCAAAACTTGCGATCATTTTTTTTCTTATGCCCATGCATCTTGATGTCGAGATGATTAATTTGAAGATATTTTGACATCAAAACATCTTCTAGTGAATTCTTTGAGGTAAGTTCAAAGTTGATTGTTTAGAGCCTCGGCTTTATATAAACTTTTCTCAAAAAATAATGAGAAGCAAAAATGAATGTTATACGCCTGATAAGGCTAAATTATGGGACAGGATGTTTTGGTCATATTTTAAGCACGCGAGGTCTTTTCTAAGACTGGGGTAACTTTATCAATACTGTACAATGGTCGGGGCATTGTGGTCATCGTTTTTAGGATAAAAAAGAGAAATTCAATAATGCAACGAAATTGGGTTCCCATCATTGTCGTCGTCTCTTTCGATACCTTTCTCTTTGATTTATTTGACGCACATTTGGCCGCGGCCTTTCTCACCTCCCACATTCTTATTCATTTTTGTTAATTTTCACAACATATATTGCAACTGGCCGGGCCCAGACCGGGTCAAATCAGGCTCGGCCCGAACCTAGTCCCATAGGGCCGCCCCAGCCTTGATGGGGACAAGAAGGCCTGCCCAGGCCCAGCCCAGCCCTAATGGGGACAAGAAGGCTTGCTCAGGCCCGGCCCTAGCTCTATCAAAGCCAGGTTGGGCCAAATAAGATAAAAAAAAAAAAAGACAAAAAAAACAAACAGAGATAAAGGGTCGGGCTAGGCTTATCTCAGGCCCGACCCGATCCTTAAGCTATGGTTGCGCGGCCCTCAAGCAACAATTTGTGGCCTGGGCCCTAGCTTTTTCATCATGGGCCAGCCTGGGTTGGGCCACTGGGCTCATTGCCACTCCTAATATATAATTTTTTGTGATAATAAGGTTCCGAAAATATATGTTCACCCCAAAAGTTTTGGTTGACAGTACCATTTTAATTTACCCTAAAAAAGAATCGAATTTCACATCCTGTGTGTTTTTTTAACTTTGGTACAGTTTCGTACCTCTATGCTTTTTCGAAGTGGGTTTGGGGAATCAACTCAAACGGCGCATAATGCTGCTAATGTATCATATACCGGTTGTATCAACGCTATCGATTTATAATTAAAGATGCTGCAGCTTTTTCGAAGTGGGTTTTGATAGATATGTTCGATTTGCATTATTTTTAAAGCTTTAAATTTTATAATTAAAGATAAAAATATATTTTAAAGCTATTACAAAGATTTTCAATATTGAAACTACATTTCTCAACACCATTTGAATGTGCGTTTTACTTTGATTGTTTAGAGCCTCGATTTTAAACAAACCGCACCTTTTAGATAATATTGTTAGAGTTGGAGTTACCTAAAAGAAGAATGCCTCATGGATGGGAACATGTGGTGGAAAGAAGCTCTGTTTCTTAGACGGGATTGTGGCAAGGTAACAGCAAATCAAGCTGAATTGTGTGATTTGTTGCAGGAACATATAAACTTTTTGCAGGATTACAGATTGGTAAGAAATTATTAGTAGAAGTTGATTCACAGAATGCCACAATAAGCAACAAATTCATTGGAAACTTTGATTGATTTGGTTACAAATAATTGATTTAATAAAGAAATAGTGTATTACTAGAATAACATTATTGATTTTATATAAATATAAAGGCTGAGGTTTGTATAAGGTTGGTGCCTTAAGCCATCAAAGTAAGGCGCACCCGAATTGATGTGGTTCAAGACCCGAAAATTCCTATGATGTTTTGTAAATTTATTTTCATATCTAAATATAAAATTTAATGCTTCAAAACTAGTGTAGATCGAGCAAATTTATGACATTTGGAACATTGTTTTTAGGACTTGAAATCCTTTTTATTCTTTTTCACATCTATACATCTCGGGGTTAAGATGATCAATTAGAGGGCTTTTGGCTTCACAACCTTTTCCACTGAGTTTTTGAAGTAAATCTTATTTCTATAGTATAAGGCTAACACCTTATATAAACTTTTTTTCAAATTTAAATAAATGCCCTTTATAAAATTACAATAAATCGATAATGTCCTAATTCAATATTTAATCATATTGTATAATTAGTAATGTATAGACATCCTATTCCCAGCTGAGGGAATTCCATGAAACCAAAGACTCTAAAACTATGCAAACTTTGACACCACCATCTCCTTAAGCCATAGGCCTTAAGTGATCTCAGTACCGCAAAAACCAACCCATGAGCAGACTTGACACGCAAAACCTTCAAAACTAATACGTAAAAGTCCAAACTCTAAAAACCCTCATGAAATCTATATTCAAGCTCGATCTAAGTCCTAAATCCAAGTAAAGGTCATAAGCATTCCAACTGTTCAAGAATCGCCTAGGTACGAAGTTTAGTTTGAAAGCTATGGCCTAGAGATGTTTGCTTTCCTGAATAACAATTAGTCCCCAGCATCGGCACCACAAACACAAGTCAGGGCCACCAATGTTTGGCCAAAAGGGGCCTATTCTAGGTGCCATGGACAACAACATTGATGTCAAGGGCAGCAACGCTAAGGGCCAGCCATCAGTCATATTTACACTGAATCATTAACCGGAAATCAGGCCTGAAATCCAGTCAGGGACACCGTTAATGCATTAGCATGGGGGGCAACAATGCCAGAGTTGGGGGCAGCAACGTCGTCAGCATCAATGCCCCAAAATCATTGGCCTAAAGACCTGCCATGTTTCTTGAGGCCTCACAGGCCGGCTTAAGGGGCAGCAACGCCATCAATAACAATGCCCCATAATAATTGGCATGGATCATTAAGTCGCAAAATTTCCAGAAAACAGGGCAAGAGAAAAGATTGGGCTGGCATGGGTAGTGCCAACCATAGTTAACAAGTCTCCACTTAAAACACGATTTTTTCAAAAAATATCAGCTACTTTGAAATTCGTTAAGAACTTCAAGTTTTTCAAAAGATCTTTAAAAAATAACGTTTTGTTAATGGAACCAATATAAATTTGTGTCTTATCTTTTTCACAAATTTTTTTTTAAAAAAACTTATTCCCTATAACTTTATTTCTTCATAAACTTAATACTATTCAATTTGGTTTAAAGGTAAGCACATTAACAGTGGGATTAAATTAAGAATCTTGATTTAATAAGAAACTTCATCAAAAAATTCACCAACAAGTTCCCTTAAAAAAATTGTATGAGAAAATGCAAGCGATATATTCCCCAAAAAAATAAGATATCAAAATAATCACATATCTAAAAATAATAGGTAGAGTTAGAAGAAGAGTAACCAACTCTCAATAAAGTATCTTTTTTCATTAAATCCAGAGCGTCTTTATAAAGAGCAAGAGAGAGATTCAATGATACTAAAAGATTTAGGTGGCTTAAGAATTTTGTTGCTTTCTTTATACATAGAGAAGTTTGATTAATTTCATATTTTATTGTAATTTTTTTATTTTATTGATATATACAGTCTTGCATTTTGGATAGATCATTATTTTACATATTTGGGTATTTGTGTTTTGTTTTAGTTAACTGCAATCCTATACTAAGGGTTTTTTGCTTTCTTCTTTGAACAATAACTTATACTTCGGTTTCTAGTTCTTGTTATTTAATATAGCCCTAATGTTTAGTATTATTCTTGTTGTTTCATTTTTTTGCTATTTTGTGTTGTGACAATAGAGTAATCATTGTTATTGATTTATTTATTACTCTAATGACATTAAGTAAAAAATTATTGTTCAATGGCTTTCATGTATCTATACAATAATTACAATCATAATCCCATAATATGCCATCTTTACATATCCAAATTTTTCACTTTTTTATTTTGAGCCAAATCTGAAATATTCACGATTTTATAACTTACCTTATTTTTTAGCAATTCGTATTTTTTACCTGATTATTTCCTCTGACTTCTAAAAATAAAACTGATTTATTACTGATGTTTTAGTTCAGCGATATATTATTAGTCCCTGACTTGCTAACTATGGTGCCAATGCCAATGTCAATGGCATCGACGCTAATCCACAAACCTGCCCCGCACATCTATAACAGTGATTTCATTAAATGAGGTTGGATCAATTATTGAAAACGATAGATTGGGCCTGAAGTTGGCAGTGCCCATGCTAGCATTAGTGACAACCACACTGGCCAAAATGCAGTTCACACCTATCAGCCACTGCTAAGCACTATGTTGAAATGATCAAATGGTGTCAAGGGCTGGCATCAATAGTGACAATGCTAGCATCAACAACGGCCCTGTTGGTAATCAGTGTCCCCGATAGTGTTAACTATGTTTTTTATTAATTGGAGGAAGTGTGTTGCACACGTCATAATAATTCACAATCAACATTCACACATTTGAGGTGACTTTGAAGTGATTGAGGAGCACCAAAGTCTCGGCATTGCCAATGCCAATACCAAAGTGGGCAACGGTGTCACTGCCTATCGACGACATATATTAAATTGAAGGTTTGAGACCCTGTTATGGGGCCTTTTATCTATAAATAATGCCCTTGGCCTCAAATTTTGGGACCCAAATTCTGAAACCAAGATCAAAACTTTGTTGCACCATGCTCCCCTGAGACTCGAAACTCAATTTG